TATATTGCCCTCCTTGGTCGTCGCTATGCTGTCCTCATCGTTCTGTGCTCGCCTAGTCGGAGAGGCAAAAAATGTTGACCTTATGCCCCTCATTAGTGCTCGAATGCAAAAACGTGGAGAGATGACAGATTCCATGACACTCCGGCTGCTGCAGGAGAGGCAAAATTCAGGATGGCGGCTCACAGCGCACCACGGAATTTCGAAATGGCTACCTTCTCGCCGGGGCTTATGCTGGAAGAACTACTGAGCCGGTAATCCCTCATTTTGAGATAAAACGAAAAATAATTGGCCAGCGAATGCCGGTGCGAAGATGCGTTTTATGCATAGTTCCCGGAAGGCTTTTGTTGCTAATGGCACCGGTTTTTCCGTCAGATGCTTCTAGCTAAACGAACTGGGATTGGTCGCCAGGGTTTTCAGGAAACACCCCCTTAAAGTTTTAGCTTTCTAGCTTTCTTGGTTCCCGAGTTAGCAACATATCCGCCAAAAATTTTCACTAGCCGGTACGTGAGGACCACGCGTAACTGGAAGCAGAGCCTGAAGTTACTAATTTCTACGTTGGCCGGGAACATCCCTTAAAATTCCAGTTTTCTAACTTTTCAGTTCCCCGAGCTAGCAACTTACTCGCAAAAAAGTTTCACGGGCAAAAAAACTTTCACGTGGGAACCAGGCATGCTTGGGGGTTGAATTCGAAACCACAAAGCTCTATGCGGACGGAAAATATCCCCTCAAAATTTCAGCATTCTAGCTTTTCTGTTACAGAGTTAGCGACTTACCCGCAAAACAATTTCACAGGCCGTAGGTGGATACTACGCGGGGTAAGAAGGCCCATTTTGTGGACGAAGGCCCGTACATGCATGTAGATTAAGTTCCCTAAGTTTCAGCCTTGTGCCTTTTGTGGGTCTCAAGACGAAAAATCGGTAAAGACACACAACACACACACACACAGACATACACAAAAACAATCCCTCGTCAATATGCGTTTTCTGCATTGCACAGGTGCAAAAATCACATAAAAATCGAAGATCAGGATCGCCAGCGGATTGACCACCAAGCAATGCAGCACTGGTCAAAGCAACTGGAGAAGTTGTCAACTGCATATTTGGGGGACAAAGTTATAAAATACAGCTGCAACGCTGCAAGGATTCATTTCGGAGCTGTGGCTCAACATTGACCTATATTTGCTGCACAGGGGAAAGGAAAGAAGGGCAGCTTCACAGCTAAAGAACCATCTATTATGGAATTGCATATTACTGCTTGAAAATGCATAACTTTATGCAGCACAACTGCTACTTGCAGAATTTGGACCAAACATGTTTTACAGAAATGGTACCCAAATTTTTCAAGGTCCATTCGTAAAATTTCAGCTTCCTAGCTTGTCCAATCACAAAAAACGGGGGTAGGAGAGGAAATACAGGCATAAAGTCCCGTCATAATGCATTTTTTGTCTTCATTTAAATTTCAAAAAAGCGTGGAAGTATCGAAATTGGTTGAAATCAGTGATGCCTACTTCTGAGAGAGAACGGTCGTCGGGAAGTCGCATAGAAATAGCAGAG